AAAGTACATATTTTTCCACTGAAGACTTCTGGAAGTGATTGTTTCTTAGTTCAGTGAATGAAGGGGAAGATGAAATGAAGACAAAACAGAGTTATTTATCTCGATTGACCATCAAATACAGTTACTAACTATTTGTGCAACGTTTCTGGAAGTTGTTTATATCTTTCTCTGAGATTAGCTTTGTCCCTTTTGACATGCACATCATAAGGATGCAAATGGACACTAACGTTTGAACTTTATCGGACTGGACATTTAAAGAGGTCCTTTTTTATGCTTTTTAGCTTGTTTCCATTTCCTGTAGTGTGTTATAGGTTTTTGTACATGTAAATGGTCTGCAAAGGCTAAAATCCCAAAGTCCCCTCCAGAGTGAGTCGTCGTCGTCGTCGTCGTCGTCGTCCCCCCCCCTCCTACCTGAAACGCCTCGATTGGACTCCTTAGTTTACTTCTGTAACATAATGACATCACTATGCAATACTAGCGCTTCTACTGGCTAGCGCTCCAACACATTGTACATGATGGGCTAAGGGGTGGGACATCTCTAAGTGGTCACCAATCACAACAGAGCCGACCAGCTAACCAATCAGAGCGGACTGGGCTCTGGTTTCAGACAGAGGGGGAAAAGAGGTGCTGCAGCACAGGCAGTATGAGAACAAGAAATACCTTCTTGAACATTTAATGAAAACGTGTCACAGTATACGCAGAAATCTGAATCTGAAAATGAGCATAATAAGTCCTCTTTAATAAACCCTGCTTAAGTTTGCTTTGTGTCTTGATAATAACTTTTGTCCCCTGCTCCCTCCTCACTAGGATGTGAAGAAGTGTTTGGAGGCATTGGATGAGATCAGTGCTCTTCAAGTGACGACACAACACCTTCAGAAGCACAGTGAACTCATTGCCACACTCAAAAAGGTATACAGACATCTATTTGGAGTCATACTGTTTGTAGAATGAAACTACACTAGCCAGTGTGTTTCTAAGCAGTTTGTTCAGTGGTGAAACATGTTTTCATCATCATCTTCTAGATTCGCAGATTCAAGGCCAGCCAGGACATCATGGACAAGGCCACCATGTTGTATAACAAGTTTAAGAGCATGTTCCTGGTGGGAGAAGGTGACTGTGTGCTCAGCCAGGTGCTCAACAAGTCTCTAGCTGAGCAGCGGCAGCACGAGGACGCCAAGAAGGGAGAGCTGAAGAGAGTGGAGCAGGCCAAGGAAAACAACTCTGGTAATGATTGTTAGAAAATCTGTCATTTAACAAAAGAAAGTTGAACTCTTTCTGTTGGCTGGAAACGCAATTATTCTTCCTGTAAAAAATGTGATTTGTTCAGTAATTTGAAGGTTTGAGGAATGTAATGAGTGAGAAAATGTCCTAATGCCATTTTAAATGATCCCTAATACCTCTTACTATTAGTTTACAATGAACCCTAAATATATACTTATGCAGTTCTTTAACAGAGTTTGCTATATTTCAACGTATCTACAGTAGCTCAGAACGGACAAACCAAACTCTGGCACAAGAGGGCCTTTCACATCTTAAAGTTACCTGAAGGCCACCGCTGATCTCATGCTTGACGCCAGCCTCCGCGTTAGGAAGTGTTATGGTAAAGATGGCCTCCGAGCGTTGGGGGGAAAGTCCCACATGTTTGTACTCAACAACCCGTTACTGTAAGGCAAGGCAAGTTTATTTATATAGCACATTTCAACACAAGGCAATTCAAAGTGCTTTTCAACAATGAAAGACATTAAGAGCATTCATTTAAAAACACTCATTTAAAAGCTGTAGTCAGAGAAAAGGAGAGGTATACACTACACAGTTCCATTACACACGGTCCATTTTTAACAAATGAGACCAAATTCATAGATGACCTTCATATTTACAGTATGATTCCTGGGAATCAGTGGTGTCCGCCTGAAGGAAGAAACCACAGTCACATTCATTTCAGATTACAATCAGTCAGCTGCAGGGCGAGAAGAGACTCATAGGAAACACTTTATCACAAATTCATCAGCTAATTCAGCGAGTCTGTGCGCGGTGAGGGGCTTCTGATCGTTAACATAAGTAAGGATTTATAAAACACAATCGGCTGACAAAGACTGTCTACAGTATCAACTTCAGACATTGCTGCTGATATGCTTCAGAGACAAACTGTTGTGCTATCAATATATTCAATTTCGAGCAAAGTTCAAACTCTTATATTCCAAACCCTCCTGTGCATCATTGCATAGACAAAGAGCTTTACCTGAATACAAACATTATCAAAAACCTTTTAAAGTATTCTGCTTTTTAAATCAGGTAAACAAAACTGACCGAGCGTTTGATGCCAACTTCATCAGTCTCAAATGTCAATCCCTAGCCCTATAATTCACTATAAATAATGAATAAACAATAGCCAAATAAAGACGCTAATGGGTCTGACGTTATTATTTTCAAAGCAAGCACAGACGTAGCTGTCATTGTATTAGGAGTGCTGGAGTTTTATACTTATTAAGTAAGATGATGAGGATTATAATAGTTGAAAATGTTAATTAAAGCGTAAAAGTTTCCATACTTTAGTCTTTCAAGTGAGTATCAGTTTTCAGCACAGGGCAGTTTGTTAGGTGATGTTGCGTCACAAGGCGTCACCGCTGGTTATTGATTAATCGAGTATGACCAGTTGGATCAAACGGACAAGACAATGGAGACATTGAAGCTTTGGGTCGGTTTCTTCCATCCCTTCCATGAAGACATCATAGGATCTCTGTAGTTAACAAGCTCCATAGAAACAGGGTAATCAGAGAGCTGCAGCCACATCCCTGCTCTATTGGTTCACTTTATTTCTTTACGTACTGTACTTCCACTAAAGTCGGTCTCTGTGAAAGGTCTCTTTCTACAGCAAGGCATGCCGAATGGATGGAAAATCCAGTTTATCTCCTAAGGTCTGGAGCTCACAGTGTGTGCCATCACATGCTGCTGTGATTTAGGTTGTATTGATGATCTCGCTCAATAAGTCTGTGTGTCTCTCTGTGTTCTTCGCCTAAAGACAAGATGACAAATGGTGATCTCAGCCCTGAAGAGAAGAGGCTGGAAACTGAGAGAGAGAAGCTTCTTGAAGACACATCGGTGGGAGAAAATCACAGGTAGTTGACCTAAAACATGGAATGGACAACACTGGGGCAGATCTCTTTTGTTCTGTCCCCCTTTTCTTACATATATGACATGTTAATATCAGTTGCATTCAGAGTAATGTATACATTTACAGTACAAAAGTCACAAGATACTGACTGTGGCTCAGTTGGTAGAGCTGTCGGCACATGTATTGGGGCTTGGTCCCCATGCGGGAGACCTGGCTTTGCCTCATGTCTGCCCCTTTAGACACTGTCACTATAGGTGTGCTAGTAGCATTACTCTAAAATGTTGGTGGTGTTTGAAATTAGCATCTTTAAACTAAACTTTTTTGGCAGTATTATCTGAAGGTCCCTTAAAGTACTACAAGACAAGAGTGTTTCAAATACATTGTAGAAGTTACTAAATATTAACCTGGCTGAGAAACATTTTCTAAAAGTCCACGATCAGCTATATGCCATTTTCTTTTATTTTTTATGGTTTGGGAATACCATGTTAGTATATCACTCAGTACTTTCTTTTTTTCTTTTGTATTTTTGTACTGTAACACATTTTCAAAGTGTCATTCATTTCCCTAAAACAGCTGGGTATTGTATATTTTATTGAAATATTTTAAAGTGTGGATTAGCACACATTAGGTGCTCTAGTAAGCTGTAGCTTCAGTGTATGTGGGATTGGCTCAAGATGAACTATAGCAACCATGTGCATTGTTTTGACACATGTCATCCAGTGAAACCGCTCAATAACTTCATTTGTATATTATTTTAGACACTGGAGGTCTCGGTATCACAAGAGTCTTAACCTTTATCTTGATTGTCTTTGACTCTAGTGGCCCAAAAGCTCAGGAAGAGTCCACTTGATTGTCCGACCTGCCTGAAGAAAAAGACATTTGCTGCTGTTCCCGCACAACCTCTGTCCGACAGACTGGGGTCTCTGTCCTGCTCCTTTGGATGACTGAAGATCACTGCTTCCCAGTTTACTCACTGTTAGTAGGTGATGCTGCTTGAAGGTTTCAGCACATTTAACCCCCGAGATAAACTGACATCATGTTTTATTTTTTTACGTTGTGTAATCCTTACCTTTCAGACACATTCATTCATCTTAAATGATAACTTTGTAAAGAGTAAGAACTTGTAGATCTGCAGCACCTTAAAATTACAGCATGCTCACCAACAAGATCATTAATTGTTGTCCCTATTTTTCATTTGGAGTAGATTTTTGATTGCACTCATTAATTTCATATGCATTTAAATAGTTTTTGACATTTGCAAAATTCACATTTCAGAGGATTTGTGTACTTAAAAGCACCATTAGATTCACAAATCGAAACAATCCAAAGTTAACTTTTCTCAAAACATGTTAAAGTGTCTTTTAAGTTTTGTTTTTAACGTAGATGTAAATAAGAGTATTTTTGTGTCTGTCTGATAACCTGTTTCAGCATCCAATAATAAAGTAGTACATAGTATCCCTTTGATTGCACAGAAATAATGTTGTTGTATCCAACTTTTTACCAGACTTTGCCCGTATCACCACCAGGGTTATCGATGAAACCTGTTCCATTTGATCCTTTGACTTCTTCAACTTCCTGACTAGACTTTTTACTATGAATGGTGGGTTTTTTATTATTTTTAGGTTTTTCTTGTGGCAGTATTTTAATCAGATGACTGCGTCTTAGTTTTTTGGGCCAAGCCGCAACAAATCAGACCAAACAGGACCAGCCTTGATGAAGCTGCTGAGAGTTTGAACACTTGAACTCTGAACATTTGAAACTGAGTTTTAAGGATGAAATGAAAAACCCAGAGCCTAGTAAGGATTTTGTAAGTAATAAAAATACTAAATTGTTGCGTGAATGGTTTACAAATTCATTCAAATAGAGAAATCCACAGCCCACAGTAAAATGAATTTCAAGTAAATGTCACTGTTTATTCTACACAAGTCGGAAAATCAAAGCATTAACAGTCGAGAAAATGAACAATAATTTTTGAAAAAATACATTTTCATAACTTCAAAACTTTCTCTCTGAAATATAAAACAATTAACTGTATTTTACAGCATTATATGAGTGATCTGAGCACGAACAGCCTTAGTTAAATGCTCCACGGTCCACATAGGGGAAGGCCTGGAACTCCCCCAGCTTGTTGCCTTCAGTGTCGTAGTGCAGCATCCGGAAACACTTATCACAGAAGAGGCACGGGTTGCTGGGAGCAAACCGGTCATTGGTAGTAACCCATCTGTGAAGAGACATATGTTAAAGATGTTCACGCAGTTTGAGAACCCCAACATTGGTTATACACAGAGGTGGAAGAAGTACTCGACTACTAGTTATTTTACTCAAGAAAAAGTCAAAATACTACAATGTAAAAAAAATACAAAAGTATTGGCATCAAAATATACTTAAAGCACCAAAAGTCAAGTACTTTTTGTGTGTAATGTCCCATTTTAAAATCATTAAATTACTGGATTATTATTTTTGATGCAATAATGTGTTCATGACAGCTGGTAAAAGTGGAGGTACTTTTAATTACTTGATATACCACTGCTAGTTGTCTTAACCGTTAATATCATAGTTTGTTTATTAGTTATATTTTGTAATGGCTAATAATCTGAATCTTTAAAGTAACTAGTACCTAATTTTGTCAAATAAATGTAAACAAAAGTACAATATTGGCTTCCAAATGTGTTGTGGACTAGAAGTATAAAGTAGAATGACATATGAAATACTCAAGTACCCAAAAATGTTACTTATATTACTTGAATAAATACACTTTACTACATTTTTCTCTTTTTTCCCCTGGTTATGCATGGCTGATTGTTACACACCTTACGATGTAGACGTGGCAGACGGCACACTTCTGGGTGGAGACCCTGTGCTTGTGTGTGAGCAGAGGATACAGCTTCTTGTCCAGGCAGTCGTCCTTATGGGTCAGTCTGAAATATGCAAGGAGAGGAAAAAGGACCAGGATCATTTTTCTGAAGTGGGATGAGAACACAGCTTTGTCCCACATTTCTGGTATTAAAAGCGCCTTTCAAATTGGCATTTTACACATCTATCAGGGCTGTAGCGTCTTGTGAGAGCAGTTAAATCCGGTCTGACAACGAAGTGCTTTATTTCAAAAGGTTGTGGTAATATCACGGAGATTCAGAAAGCATGTTGCCGGCTATGTGCTGACAAATCAAACCCACCATATGTAATGCTGTAAAGATGAGGTTAGGTAAAGGGTATGATCCCTGACCGTTTCCATACCAACATGTGCTTCTGACTCAAAACAAGCACCTGATTTATGATTAGATGCGACTAGATCAAAAGACCTTGGATAGCTTCACTGGTCCTTTGATGTGCCAAATTGTAATTCACAGACATAGCTTCAGGAAGTTTTCACACTTTAGAACATGTACTTGTTCAAGAACATGTTTAGGTGTGTCTCATATTGGTACGAAACCACTAATTGACATGAATTATCGTGTAATGAGCAAGCAGTTCAAATGAATGTAGGATCATTAGGTTTGACTGCTCTCCATTCCACCTTCACGCCTTCGGGGACCGTGCCTTCAGTGTCGCTGCCCCCACCCTCTGGAACTCCCTCCCTGCAGAAATCCGCAACGCCCCTTCTCTCAACATCTTCACATCAACCCTTAAAACTCATCTGTTCAACATCGCCTTCCAACAATAACTCACTCTCCCCCCCCACTTACACTTCCATTTCTGCCCCCTGTTTTATGTGTATGTTTTATGTCTTGTCCTTGTACTGTATGTTTCTTTGTAAAGCAACCTTGAGGTTATGAAAGGCGCTTTATAAATTCAAGTTATTATTATTATTATTGACGAACGATGAATAAACTGTTGGATGTCACTAATAGAATAAGATTTCAAAAATCTCAGCCATGCTAGCAGCTTTTACAAATATAATAATGCCTGGGAGCTAGAGTAAAATTAATAAGAGGCCCTGTTGTGCTTTTTGGGGGTTTCTCTTTCCTGTAGTGTGTTGTATAGGTTTTTAGGTTGTTTTTTTTTGGTCTGCAAAGGCTAAAATCCCAAAGTTCCCTCCAGTGGGAGTTTCTCTCCCACACACTCCCCCCCCTGCCTGAATGCATCCTAGTGACATCACTGTGTAACACTCGCACTTCTATTGGCTAGCGAATAAAGTGAGGGTGAAAAGAGGTGCTGCAGGACAGACAGTTTTAGAAAAACAGAGATATTTTTGAACATTAAAGCATGTAGAAATGTCACAGTAGAGGCACAACATACAAATATGCAACCGGAAAATGAGCATAATAGGGCCCCTTTAAGTTTGATCTACATTTGAACATTCATCTCTGAACCAAATGATGTGCCATTCATTGTGTGTATAGAGATATTTTACTGGATAGTTGAGAATTTTGACATACCAAAAAAAGTAAGCACCATTTATACTTATTACACCTTTTAGTAACAGCTGTTTAACAGAAGTAAGAAATAAAAACAACACAGCACCGACTGACCTGACGTCTGTGATGATGACGAGGTGTTCGCAGTCTCCCTGATGGCAGTAGAGGTACGGGAAGCCCACTTTTATCTTCAGATCCACAAATCGTGTGTCCTCCATCTTGGCCTGGGTGTACGTTGGGAAGTTGCGGTCCTTTGCCCATTCAATGGTAGTTCTGTATCAACGACAAACAGAGGGGTTCTTCATAAGACAAAGTACTTCCAGTTCAGTTTCCATATCTTTGTATTCTAATTCTGAGAATACTTTTAAGATGGAAGTGCAATGTTCTGCCCCTTATTTTCTCTGGTTTCCTTATCAGCACCATTACTTAATTTTAGTAAAAAATGTGATTCAAATAGGAAAATTCATCTTGGCCTGAACAAGAATGTCCTTGTTGTTGTTATTGTATAAGCTGCAGAGTTAACAAAAGGGCCACAGAGAATTTGTTTTATTGGTAAATGTTTGTAATGAGAACAAGAGGGCTTTATAGAACCTTACAGACAACATTTTAAATGAGGCTTGAATGTGTGAACAATTCTCAGAAGTGACAGTGTAACAATTGAGATCCTACTCGTAAGGTGTGCGTGTGCGTGTGCGTGTGCGTGTGTGTGTGTGTGTGTGTGTGTGTGTGTGACAGATACAGGAGTGTAAAAAGGTGATGAAATAAAGAGAGGTTTTTGTCTTGCCATAAGTGCAACGATATTGCATGTTTATATAGTCACAGTTATTGTTTAATGAAGCTGGCGCCGTAATCGTTTCATCTTCGTCATGGGAAAAGAAGCATGTTGTTGCTGACATATTTTGTCATAAGTTACCCAGGATGAGAGAAGAGAAGTTCATTTCACTCTCAGTGTGTTTCAGATTCTGGCAGGGTTTTTTTGTGGACATCTCGAGAAAACTACCTGCCCTGGACTACAGCTTGAATTACAACAAGCTTAAAAGGGTTAATATGCCCGATGACAACCACAATGAACTGCCTATCCCAGTGTGAATGTTAACTTTGGAGAGAGCCTGGCAGGATGTTTCCCCCGCTTCCTGCCCTCATACTGTGTTAAACTAATAATCTCCTGGCTGTAGCTTCTATCACTCCATAGACAGTAGAGTGGTTTTAATCATCTTATCTCAGAAATAAAGTACATTTGTCAAATACTCAAAATGTGAAACTGATCAGGAAAAGAGGGTATCCATAAGCAGCTGATTACAAAAAGAGGGGTTGAGATTAACCAATCGTTCAACTTATCAGGGGGAAATACTTACATACTGGTGTCCTGACACTCGGGATATCTCATGTCGTTATAGAAAACTCCTTCGAAATAAAAGAAAGCTGACTTGAAATGATCCTGAAACAGAAGACATGAAAATATCACCTCCAGGTTTAAGGAGTTGGTCTCAAATGTTTTACAGAATAAACACCACACAATAGATACTTTTAATATGAAATCATTACATTGATACAGTATGTTTATGTTCAGATCTTGCTTGTCATTTCAGATTTACTAAGTATGTGTGCTCACCTTGCTGATGAAGTCTGGAGCCATGTCCGGCGTGTTACTGAACTCTCCGCACACTTGCAAGTCGCTGACGCAGCAGATGGCATCCCTGAGCTCTGCCAACGTGTGGGAGCCCATCATCAGCATGGTGATGTGGGGTCTGACATGGGTAAACTGAGGGGGGGATACAGTGAATATGTCAGTATAGTGGAAACTTATAATTAGGCCTAGAAAGACGGTTGTATTTGGAAGATTTTGGGCCCTCACTTTCTCAAAAATAGCCGGGTAGTAGACGTTGACGTTGAGAAGGATTTCTCCTTCAGGGACCATGTCATCCAGTGTCTCTGATTTCTTACCGAAAGTTAAACGCTCCTAGATATTGCAAAGATAATATATTAACATTTGTCTGCTCTGTCATACAGAACAATATTGAATGTACTCCAATGGACCCACCAGTTCATCAGCGTAGAGGTCGTGTCTATTCTTGCTGATTTTCCGAGTATCTCTGTAATCTTGTTTCTTCTTTCTTTGTCTGTTGAAAACAAAATGACAGAGAATTTAATTGGTTCACATACGGTTGGTTTGTCCAAGACTAAATGTAAATTGTAACAACTGAGGAGGAATCCTACATTAGTGTCTTCAGCGTCGGGTCTGGAGGAACGACGTCTGTATCAGGAGGCTGATCCTCCGGGTGGCAACGAAGTGAATCAAGACTTGGAAGAAAAACATGAGTCTGTTACCCTTTGGTACAATTTAATGTAGCAAAGTAAGCAATGTGCAAAGTAGTTTCAGTGTGCTCACTACTTTGAAGTCATAAATCATAGCAAAACATTATACACACAACAGGTGATGGCAACAATGTATTTAGTAGTCCACCTTCATGTTATCAACAGCTTTATTTTTATTATGCTCATTATTTCACTCAACAGACAGTCACTAAGTACGTTTTCTGAAGCATTGTATAAGTATGCTTTTCATGGTAGGCTACTTGTAATTGAGTATGTCCAAGTTACATTACTTTATACTTTTATTCAACTACCATTAAGAGGGAAAAACTGTATGTTCTGCATTTAATTTAAACATGTAGCTACTAGTTACTTTGCAGATTCTGATTCTTATATTGACTATAGACTGTATAAGCCCCACCATTACCAGCTGAAACATTAAAGTCATTCACTTTCTTTTTAATTCTTAATTCAATCATACATTTTGTCTGCATAGAGAGTACTTCTACTTTTGAAATTTAAAGTATATTTAAATGCTATGTGTGTGTCCTTATTCTTGAACTTTTACTTGTAAACGCTGTGGTTATAATGGTATATCTACTGTAACAGAAAGTGTGCATCACTTTCTTACTTCTGCCCTCACTGATGCTTAACCATTGAAGTTGTTTCTGGTATTGCAATCAAGGTTCAAGGTTCAAGGTTCAAGGTTCTTTATTGTCAATCTGACATAGCTACAGAGTAATTATGCAGTTGAAAATCTTATGTCACAGGCTTCTCCAACAATGCAACATAATAACATAATATAATCGATTCTTTCAGTGCAATTTCGTAATGTTTTGAGCACATTAAGAAGACAGGATGGACATGATAAGAAGAGACGCTGAGTGCTAAACATTTAATAAAACAAAATCGTATTTTCAGTTTGCACCGGTTTGCACGTTCTATGGTGTCTACCTGCAGACCGTCTTGAGCTCAGCCATGGTGTCCGCGCTGATGCCCATCTCCTCCGCGAAGAGAGCGTCAGAGGAGTCCTGGTCCCCCGGCTGGTAGGAGAAGTCCCCGGGATGCAGTCTGTTCAGCCACTCGGCCCTGAACGAGTCGATATGAAATATGTCGGTGTTCACATCAGTGTATTCATAATCTGGGATGTTTGTGTTTTTCGAAGCCGCCATGTTTTCCTGAATGACTACATCCGAGCGTTGAGGATCATGGGTAATGTAGTTTTTCTCAATGATGGTTCCAAAAGGACTGCATGTGGATGCTTGAAAAATACCAGGTTATGCATAGATATTCAGATTTTTTTCAGATATTTCATACACATTTTAATACATTTATTTTAGCCTTATTTATGTATGTTAAAAAATACATGTGTCTGTAATCAATGTTTTTGCGAGGGGACCCCTATTCTCAAATCTGCTGTAAAACTGATGACTAAAATGACTATTTCACAGTGATGGAGGCTACTGGAATTTCTTCTTCTGCTTTCATATTTGTCCAGTTTCTTGTGCAGATTTTAAATGCTCATTATCTTTTCTATGAACAGTGTTAAAAGTAAACACGTCATAAAGAAGCTTCTAATAGTAGCGTGTGGTGCAGCAGCAGAAAGTCTTAAAACTATCAGTAATTTAATAGTTGGGCAGGGACATCACATGCATGCAAATAACTAGAAATTATAACCAAAGCTACGTCTATCATCCCTTGTCTGAGTGAGTGAAGTTAAACCAATATGACATGGAGCAGCTCAAGGAATTTTTCCCGAGAGGAGTTGAGTCATTTGTCATGGTGACACACCTCTGCCTCTCCTCTCCCTTAATACTCACAGTGGGGCAAAGCAACTGGTTGAACTTTATTTTCTATTACCATAACTATTTCCATTAAATGCAACTTAATGTACTTAACGGCACTTAAGAGAAACATATTGTTTTTTATTTATTCTAGAACAGTAACCTACCAGCTCCATAAATAACAATGGGTTTAAAAAGAGTAAATCAGTGGGTTCAACAAAAAAAAGCCCTTTTGGGGTTCCTTGTTACATTTTGTTTATGAATTGATACTAGTAGTCAGAGAAAACGTAAAAACCTACCCCATTAATTATCTCATCCGCACAGTCTTATCATGTGACCATGTTGACCCCTTGGTTGGTAATCAGTGGAATACGCTACCCATATTGAATGTAGATAAACCAGCCAAAAATCTGTCCATTCATACCTATAAAAGCCTGCCTCATTATTAACATTGCTATGTCATATTTATCGAGTACTTTTTAAATGTGTATTCTTATTTATGTACATTTTGCTGATGATACTTGGATTTTCCTAACTTGTTTTCAATTACTTTCACATTGCTGCATTAGTAGTTACAGTAATATGTCTGAGTACTTCTTCCACCACTGCTCAATCAGGCAGTTGTCTCGTGTGATGAGTCTCGTGACCTGCTACAGCTGCATCTAATTAGCAAACAGGGAACAGTTAGCTAACAGTTGTACAACAGCACCGCGTCTCAGCATGCATCTCGTCCTTAGAAATTCTTAGAAACTTCTTTATCTACAATCTTAATTTCATTCTCACAACCGGCTTTGTAAATACATCTAACTGACGTGCACAAGCCTGTTTAACGAAATGTGGGTGATTCTATCAATCAAAATAGAAACTGCCTTTATGTCTTTCAAGTTCAAAAGTCTAAAAATGTTATTGTGAGTTGTATATACAGAGCTCCTGGAACCTGTATTGACACATTTACAGATAGGGTAGAAAACATGTTTACTAAATCATTACAAAAAATTATGTTTATCTGTGGGGATTACAATATTGACCTGTTGAATCCAAATAAGCATAAAATGACAGAACACTTCATCAATACATTGTACAGTATGGGTTTGTATCTTAAAATTACCAGACCTAGTAGAATCACTTCTCATTCTGCTACATTAATAGACAACATATTCACAAACATTATGGAAAACAATACAGTAGGCGGACTATTATATAGTGACATCAGTGATAATTTACCTGTTTTTATTGTCTATCACTGCAGTTCTAAGAAACCTAAAGTCGCCAGCCATTTCAAATACAAAACATATGGTTAAATTCAAAACGGCACAAATCATGTACAGAGCAAGACATAATCTACTTCCTAGGAAATTAAAAACATTGTTCATAGACCGAGAGGGTGGGTATAATTTGAGAGGAAATCTACATTTTAAACAACTCAAGGTCAGAACAACTCTGAGAAGTATGAGTATAACAATCTGTGGGGTGATTTTATGGAATGGTTTGGAGCAGGAGTTAAAACAAAGCACAAGTCCCTTTCGGACACATATGATTTTTTTAAATTATTATTATTATTATTAATATGAAGACTTTTTTTGTTGAATATATAAATATTATCGTGAATGTGGATAAATACTGTATTTTAACAATACGGTATTCTGTTTTTCACATTTGTTATTTTTTATTTGTTATTTATTTATTTTTTAAATCTGTTCGAAATAAAGATTGAAATTAAATGAAATGAAGTTGCTCGTAAAGCACATTAGCGTGCGTACAATGACAAGAGTCGAAAGATTTGTGGGCCGGTCCTCAAAATGTAGGCCCCTCCCGGCTCCTGACCTGATAAATACCGCGGGATGACACATTTTAACTTATTCTGCAAAGTTAAGAAATCGATTTCCCAACAGAGATAAGGGAGGATATCAAGTTGTATCCGGCGTTTGGCGTTACTTCTCAGCTAAAAATGGAGTTGAAAAGAGTCAATTCACTTCAGCAGGTAGGTTGTGTTTACTGCAGCTTCTCCAGGTGTGTGATGACTAGAGTTTGATTCTTCCAAACAACATTTTTGCTTTTATTTCAGCTTATTAAAAGCTGTTTCTGTGTCCTGATATGTCATTTAATCATTCATGTGTAAGGTAAAGGAGGGCGGAAGTGGTAAAAGTGTTCATTCCCTTTAATGCATCATGTTCAGACGTCCGATGGAGGCATGTTGACATGTATTTTTATTCCACTTAAAATCAATAACATGGTTGCATAAATTGCTTGTTTAGGCACGTTAAAACTCCCTTCCCACCCCTTTTCCAGATGGACCTGGAAAATCAGGTTATTCATAGATATTCAGATTTTATTTATTTATTCAAAAATGTTTATACAAACTTGAATACATTTGTTTGATCCTTTTTGTCTTCTTATTTTACGGAATGCATATCAGCACTGACTCAAGAATGAGTTGCAAATACTTACAATAACAAATGTCATTTGAGATGTAAATATAGACTACCAACTATATGTAGCTCACATCACTTTGTATGGTTTTTATTTCCCATTTACAAGTCAGCAATCAACCCTTAAATACTTGATCCTCTTTATTGAGCTCTTCATGGTTCAAACAAACTATAATAACAAATAAGTCCAATGGCTTAAATAGTTATTATATAGGTAATAGTTATATGTGAAGGGAGGCTGTGGCTCAGTGTGCTGGACTTCGAATCAGTGGATAGGAAGTTCGAGTCCCACTGCAGTCAGCATGTCGTTGTGTCCCTGGACAAGACACTTCACCCCAAATTGCTCCTGTGGGGATTGTCCACATGTATTGAATGTATGTAGTCGCTTTGCATAAAAGCGTCTAACAAATGACATGTAATGTAATGTAATGTGAACAAAGGGGGTAATGGTAACACAATTTGTCAATTATGTGTACATGATAGTAGAGGGGAGGTAAAGAAGAACAACTTTATTCATCATAACCTTTGCAGGTGTGTCAAACTCAAGACCCGGGGGCCAAATCCGGCCCGCGACTTCATTTTATGTGGCCCGCAAGAGCTGAATATAATACGTTTATTATACGGTTACATGCCGATTTACAGAAGCAGGTTGCCCATAAACTACATGTCCCACAATGCATCTCGTTTTGTGACATGCACACTGAAGAGACTTGCAATTATTTGCCCTGGACTTCTGCTTTCAGACGTAGTTGGTAGTTAATTACTAAGTTATTATCCTATCCGATAATAATCCAATTCAGAGGCAATAGTGTAATATAATACATTATTTTATATATATATTATATATTTATATATGTATATTTATATAGTTACAACCGGCCCTTTGAGTGCAACCATAATGCTAATGTGGCCCGCCATGAAATTGAGTTTGACACCCCTTCTTTATAGCCATGGTCATAACATGCAAGACAATTATCTCACAATATTGCACTCATCTAATTGTTATTTACATGCACATGTGCAAAAAGCACACACAGCATATATGACAACTGTGCAGTTACTTTGTTTTTACAAATTGTCTCCCCTTCCATCCCTTTTCCAGGTGGACCTAAACGAAATCAGTGAGGATTTTATGTAAGTGAAATAAAGTTTATTTATTGGATACATTTTACAGGAATGTTCAAAATGTTTTCAATGCTTTGCACCAAATGAAAATAATAATAAGGCATACATAATTGGCAACCAGAGAGAATCCTTTAGAAATATCCTTCATTATTGCTAATTGGATATCATTATGAAATCTTCTCATTGTAATGCACTCCATGCACACTAGAGGTCAGTAACTCCTAATTCATCAATACAACTATTCATACAATTTTTTTTTTGTACTATTCACATACATATTTGCAGCCATTTGTTACTCAACTAGCTAACCTGCCATATATTTTACATCTCATCACACAAGACTTGTAGGGAGTAAAGTCACTTTTTTCCCGCTGTGCCACATTTTGGCATTGATTCACCTGTGATCCCGAATACTTAATGCATGATTTGATGTCAGAGGTGTGTAAATCTGTTGGGAATTAAAAAGCCTAAAGGATTTTGCAAATCTTTTATTCAGAGACCCTGGAATGGATTTAGAAGCTGCACTGAAGGAATCCTCCGCTGCACTGGATCTTTTTCTAAACAACAGGTTTTCTGATGCTTTGGCTCTGTTAAAACCCAGGTAAGTTGCCGACTCTTTAAAAACATTTATCTCCAGCTGACTCTGCATCATGATGCACAGCTGGTTCACACTTCTGTCTGTACTTTAAACATTATGGCATTTGATTACTTTTTATAATATTTGTTTTTTTAATCTTGGAATTTGCATTTTGTCTTAAAAAAATCATTGCATTCATTCCCCTTCAGGAAGAATCAGAGCATGTACCACGCCATGGGCTACACCAGCATCTTGGTGATGCAGGCAGGCATGACCTTCGACCCAAAGGACATGAATAATGCCATGGCATCTCTGAGGGAATCCCTGGAGACATGCCAAAAGTATGACAGATTCATAGAAGTTTGGATTACATATTATAAAACATGTCACGGCTTATATAGGCTACAATGCAGAGGGTGCAGAGATTCAATGTGCATTTCAAACTACCATTAATACTGCATGCAACAGTCCATACATTGTAAGGGCAGCTGCATCATAACTACTATAACTATATAAGAGTTTAATTAAATGGTAAGAGATTTGGATCCATTGCATGAGTGCACTGGTTAATTGAAGCATACTGATCCTTTTCGGGGTGGGGGGGAGGGGCGGAAAGAGACGGGCCTAAGTGGCTGAATAAAGGTAAATTCAGACAGATAGCGTGAGAACAAATAATGTGTGTTGGGATAAACACAAGTGTGAAACTAAAAAAACAGCATAGTATAACCTTGAACCTACACTGTGTGTTCCTCAACATAGATTTCGGAAGAAAACTGGAATAGTGGAGGCTTTAACCAGCCTCTTGTACAGACAACCAGCTGACAACCTGACAGAAGGCAAGTGAAAATACTTTGGATTCATGACATAGAGAGAAGACGAACCGTGTTAAAGTGTCAAACTGTTTTATTAGAAATAACAAACTGTATATTGATGTTAGGCCCTGGTACTGATTACAGTTCCCAGTGCCATCTCTATGAAGCTTTGAAAAGTTTTGTTTTTTTACCCAGCATGTGACATTTGATTCTTGTTAACAGAGGAGATGCATGCAGAGCTGTGCTATGCCGAAGTTCTGCTGCAGAAAGCTGCCCTCACATTCCTGGATGAGAGTATAATCGGATTCATCAAAGGAGGGATGAGAATCCGAAACAGTTATCAGATATACAAGTAAGAAGCTTGAAACGGGGATTTTGCTTGGGACAGGATGCCTTAACGAGACGCTGATAAAAGTGGTTAAACTGACTTGGGTCTATTTTCTTAATGATATGTTCTCTCCCCTACCAGGGATTGCCAAGCCATGGCCAGTGCCACAAAAGACATGGAAAATCAGAGTAGCACCCACATTCATTTCAGAGGTGGTGTGAACATGGGCATAGGATCCTTTAATCTGGTGAGAGATGCAGGAAGTCATCCAGTATGCACATCATTATAGCTGTGTTTTTGCACTTCTTTAAGATGTATTTTATTTACACATATGTTGCATTAGTTTAGACTTAGAAAAAATGAAAGCTTCTGAAATGGCTGGTAGAACAAAGTATTTCTTTTAAATTGTCATAACTACCTAGGCTAACCTACTTCTTCTTGTCAGATGCTGTCTCTGCTCCCATCCAAAGTCCTCAGACTGATGGAGTTTTTGGGTTTCTCTGGAGACAGGGTAGGTCTCATCAGTCACTTCTATTTTCAGTAAAAAATGATATATAAACTATGATAACCTTTTTTCTAATCTTACAGGAATTGGGTTTGTCAGAGTTGAGAGAGGGAGCAGCCGGCGACAGTCTGCGCTCCATCCTCAGCACCCTGACTCTGCTGATGTTTCATCTCTACATCACAGTGATTCTGGGTACATTTCTTCCAGACATCTAACCCCCTTTTTCATATATTCGTATATAAGCATTTTCTCATTATAACCTCCATTAAAGGAGGTTTGCTTGGTTATTTAATTTAAAAACCACTATGCCAATTTTTATGAATGCTAGTGGAAAGTTGTTGCATGGGCCAAGGACAAACACATTGAAATCTAGGGATGTTCATAATCACAGGGCAGATGCACGCATTATTTTTCACTTATGGAAAAGACATTGGAGGGGGTCTGTGCCCCCCTGTCTCCTTGTAATGGTCACATTTCTTAATCTGGTCATTGTATTCCCTCAGGCACTGGTGAAGGAAACCTTACTGAGGCTGAATCTCTTCTGGAGCCCTACATTGACAGGTTTCCGAATGTGAGCAGGATTTAAAAACTCATGCTGATTCTAACTCATAGCGATGAGTCAAATAGCATAATTTTTAATTAATTTGCTTCTTGTTCACAGGGAGCGCTCATTCTCTTCTACACTGGGAGAATTGCTTTGCTGAAAGGAAACTTCGCATTTGTGAGTACTGGTAGTAACCAACAGGATGTGTGTGCATGCAGCTCAGGCAGTTGCCCCTCCATGTGAGGTCGGCCCAGACCCTAGGGGTTTTTAAATCTACTCTTAAGACACACTTCTTCTCCCTGGCCTTTTAGTCAGAGCGGAGCACGACTCCTGATTTTAACCCTGTGTTTTCTTTTTAAATATCTGTTGTAATTTATTGTCTTTTATTGTGATTATAGAAATGTGTTTTTATGTGATTGTAGTTATTACATGTACAGCACTTTGGCCCGACCAAAAATCGCTTTTAAATGTGCTTTATAAATAAACCTTGATTTGATTTGATTTGAAATCCCATGAATCTGTTTCTCTGCAGGCCCAGGAGAAGTACCTGGCATGCATCGGAGCACAGCAGGAGTGGCGTCAGATTCACCACCTTTGCTACTGGGAGCTGATGTGGGCCTACACCTTTGAACAAAAATGGAGGGAGGCATATCGATATGCTGACCTGCTCTGCAAAGAGAGCAAGTGGTCCCAGGTAGAAAATAAAACATGTTCTTTTTGCCTTGTCAATCTGATTGTATAGATATTGACATTGCTCTTCTCTTGCAGGCCGTCTATACCTTCCAGAAAGCGGCCATCTTGAGCATGATGCCAGAGGAGGAAGTGACTGGACTGGGAGAAAATGTGGTGGACTTATTCAGGTTTGTGAGAGAGAACCATAATAAGGCTTGGTTTTAAGTTCTGTAATCATCATAAAGTAACAGTGAGACATGTGGTTTGATTGTAGGCAGGTGGATGGTCTCAGACTGAGGATTGCTGGGAAGTCGATTCCAACAGAGAAGTTTGCTGCAAACAAGGCGCAGCGGTACTTTTCTTCTGACCCACAGAAACTAGTTGTGCCTGCTTTGGTGAGGATGCTCAGGCATTCCTTCTTTTAATGACTTAACATTGAAAACGAACCTTTTTTTGATGATAACCATTGTTTTCCCTCAGGAAATGATGTACGTATGGAATGGATTCACAGTAGTTGGCAAAAGACCTGAGTTGACTAAAAGCATCTTGACCGTCTTGGAGAAAGCAGAGGAGCAGCTCAGAGATGATCCTAGTGAGGAACAGAAGAACTTTAAAGCACATTGACGAACATAATCAGTTGTTTTAGCATCAATGTGAAACTAACAGCTTGTTTATTGTATTCTTAGACCCATCAGTGTATCACCTGGATGACCAGTGTGTTGTGCAGCTGCTGAAGGGTCTCTGTCTCAGAGAGCTCGAGCATCTGGTCCAGGCCGAGCTCTGCTTCAATCAAGTCATTTCAAGGTGAGGCCATCGTGGTGCCATTGAAAAACACTTTCTCATGAAACCCAGGGGTTGAAAATAATCTCAACATGTCAAATAATCATATACATTTATATACTGTTCAACACTTTGTTAATGTTTTGCATCTATTGCTTCATCTCTCTACAAATGTTACACTTTTTCTGTCAATTTCCCTTTTTATCAAGTTTTTTTATTTTTGTATGTTTCATCCTTCTCAACAGCCGTTCCTCTGGTTACAGTTTGCATCTGAACAGACTCTATAAAGTTGATTTAGTAAATTCTACAAATGCATTCACTTGATGTATTAAAGTCACATTATGTAAACCAACTGCTACACATGATGTGAATAGCATTAGCTGTGTTTTTGCTATACCTCATCTCTATGAACATGATGCATAACACATGTAGTTCCTAACTATACAGTAGGTGGCGTTGAGACTTGCAGTAACTGCCCAACTGAACTTAAATATAAGCACTTTCATTTTTTATCACTACTAAATTGTCCCACTTTTGATTTAACATTTTTTGCAGTAAAGACAACATCAAGCATGACAACTACCTGGTACCATTTACCATGTATGAGCTGGGCCTGTTGCACAAGCAGAAAGGTGACACCAACACAGCCATCAATTTGATGGAAGACATCAAGTAAGTGTTTTAAGCGCATTCACATTTGTATTTATCACGTTTGCTTTACTGTCTTTAAGTTAAGGTAGTGCTTCCCAAGATGCTTGGATGACATCTGTCTGAAGTTGCATACTGCTATAACACAAAGAGCTGATCTTGTTTGCAGAATGAACTACAAAGACTACCACATGGAGTCCAGGCTACACTTCCGCATCCATGCAGCGCTCAACACCATGGGATCTTTTGCAGCCAAACTTCCCCCTTCACGTACTCCGGCTTAAGAGACCACATGACGGGAAGCTTGACAATGGCGAAAGAAAAAAATTAAAGAAAACAAAGTCTCTGTTTAAACTCTGAGACTGCACTGGAAAATGATCCAGATGGGCTTCTTGCTGTTGCCCCCATGATGAGGGCATGCATCCAAACTCGCAGTTGCAACCCTGGGTAGTATGGTAATATTTTTGTAATTATTTGTAGTGCTTCTAGAGCAGGAACAGTTAAGCGGACTCTGTAATCGACTTGCATAAATGACTTGAAGATTACTATTATTTCTATTGAATGACGCTATACCATGTCAGAATGAAGGTTGAAGAATGCTATAGAATGACACATTTAGATGTATTGGGCATGAAGAAAACTGCTGTGTTTAAATGGATTTAAAAAATGTTGCTCTTAGAAAACTCCGGTATTTAATGTCCAGTTTGAGATTTGTCTGTTTTTTATTTTTCATGTGTCAATATTTTAAGGATGTTTGTTTTTAAATGCTATACGCTCGGGTACAGTGCAGCCATGTTCTACAGAAAACACTTTTCCTTGTAAATAACTTTGCTAAATAAAGCTTATGAATCAAATTATGTCCTGTAATGGAGACAAAAAAGAAGGCGAATGCCAGGTGTTGATTTCCTCACTGAACTCCAAATACAAAATGAAGCCTTTACTAGAAAGGAGCAATATTAATAACGTCTGAAAATATCAATTTTTGGTTGTATGGTAAAAATGGTGGACTGTAGAATATACCTAGGTGTATATGATGAAACAATAAATCGATTAAACGTGTTTCCATTTCTGTATCTTCTTGCTAGCTAGGGTGATCATGAATGTACATCAGGTATATGGGCCATTCTACCGAATTGGTGCAAATTCAGGTTGGAACAGTTTTGAAATGTTGCATGTTTTTTCCCCAAAACTTTGTCCATATATATTTTGTACCATATCTAAATTACACATATCTGGTAAAAGAACCGTACATTTTTATATCGTATTTTCATATTGGAATGTTCTTCCTCTACCAAAAATGGTCACTACCGAAACATAGTACATACACTGTAGTAAAAAAGTATTATATTAACCTGTTAAGATTGTTTTACCTTCCCTTCTCTAAATAGTATTTTAACAAATATTTCTTGAGGGTTTTCACAATTAAATCAATGCAATTTCATTTGTAATCAAATTTCAAAGTTCAATTTATACAATTCATAAAAATCATAATGCAAACTTTCTTTGTAAAAAGCATAATACTGATCATATTGATTCCAGAGTTGATGATTGTTGAAATTGAACATACATTAAACCAATCAGTATATCATTTTAGTTGATAAGTCAATATACTACATTTTTTACAAAACATCCAGTGTTTCGGTAGTGACCACAGTATTTTGTTCTCAAGGTTGTATCATTTTCCCTCAACCTTATTGCTTAATCTTAACTCATAACATGCCTTATGTTGAAGTGTGAATGTTTGAAGCTACTGACCCAGAATCAGCACTTTAGTAACAGGCTGAAATAGAGGGGGATGAGGCTAGAATGGGTGATCTGTTTGGTATTTTGAGCAAAACACTTCATAGACATGTTTTTTATATATCTGAGACCTATAATATATGCCTAAAATAGTATAATAAGAGACCTTTAAAGTAACACACTGATTTTCATACTTTAAAACACATTTATTTCAAAACTATGGGATTTACCTGCTTACCATTCCATTTAGTCACTACCGAAACGATCATGTCAATCACCAAAACTTAACCATATGTTTCGGTAGTGACTGTTTCGGTAGTGACGATAGCTAAAATTGAGCATAACTAAAGAATGCTAGCAAGTACATGGCTAGCATACACGTCTTTGAAGACGTTTACACACATGAAAACCTAATACTTTGCATAAAACCCAGAAAAAGTGTACTTAATTGAAGATAATATGTGTTCGGCAGTGATAAGCGTGCCACAGTTTCGCCCCTACCTACAGGCCGATCACGCAGACTGTGTGGGGCCTCCCACAAGTAAGGTGCGAAGTAACTAAGTATATTTACAGAAGTACTTAGGAAGTAGAATTGTGAGACAGGCTACTTGTACTTGAGTATTTCCATTTTATGCTAGTTTATACTTCTACCCCACTACATTTAAAAACAGGTAATTTTACTCCACTACATTTATTTAACAGCTTTAGCTACTTTTAACTAAATGCATCCCTAAAAATGTAACTAGTGGACTAACTCATTATTCTTCTGAACAATGATTACTTTTACTTTGTATACTTTAAATACATGTATATGATAATACTTTTGTACTTTTACTTAAGATATTGGAATACAGGACTTTTACCTGTAATGAAGTATTTTGACAATATTGTATTGGTACTTTTACTCAACTAAAGCATCTGAATACTCCACCACTACATCACATTAATAGATTGTAGGCCTTTAGATAAAGATAGTTTAGTCCAGTCACAGTGGTTGTCTATTCAGGGGTCAGGCCCCCTCGAAACATTTACTTCATACACATAAGGGGAAACAAGGTCACAAATGATTAAATCCCACAAATCTTTCACTTGCATTGCTTTGACTGCTGCTGTCAGTGCTGGTGACCACGTGGTTTAATGAGATGATCAGCTGACTCTGTCGGAGGAGGAAGAGGGATGAAGATGGAAGGAAACAGAGACGAAGCTGAAAAATGTATTAATATAGCGACCAAATCCCTTAATGTCGGAGATAAAGAGAAAGCGTTGAAGTTTCTCAACAAAGCAGAGAAGCTTTATCCAACTACCAGAGCAAAAGGTAGGAGTGGATGATCGTCCGGGGCTAAGCTAATGACCAAGGGCTAGCTAGTAAAGCTGACGTGTGTTAACATCAGTAACGGTTTAGGCTTATAACAGGCCACCTACTTACTATTGTATACCCAATACCTGTAAGATAAATTAACGGTAAACTAGAATAAACTATGCCTTTAAGACGGTGAAATGGAGAAAACGCGTCGAGTTAGCGTTAGCTTAGTTGTGGGCCTAACGATGTGAAGGCTAACCTAGCTAGCGCTGTTAATTGGGGTTATATATGGGGAAATATGGTGAATAAGCCTGTATTTATTGGAGCTAAAAGACTATCACTGTTAAATAACCACTAAGGCTAATGGTTATACAATCCCAGATCGAGCCATCCTTGACTCAGTGGTTGAAGCTAGCTGTCATTCATTGCAGTGTCTTGAATACTAGCTGACCTTTAAAGCATTTTTTATAGCTGTCATTTCATTTTCACTGCAAGTAATTCGGCCGGTGTTGCATATGCTGTGGTGTAAAGGTTCTAGGCTCGTAAAGATTTGGGTGCAGGACAGACAAGTGGAGCCTGGAGAGAGATGGAGTCACGGCTAGGACTACATACACGGCTAGGACTACATGCTAGTCTTTTAATTTGTTTTGTAAAGCACTTTGAATTGTCGCGTACAGAAAAGTGCTATATAAATAAACTTGCCTTGCCTTGCCTAGTCAGCCGACTGCCAATCCTTTAATTGAACGATTGACCCGAAATGTAGGCTAATCCCGGACACACCACTGTCAGCGACAAAACCCGTAAACAAGGGTTAAGTACAGTACGGATGGCACTGACAAAGGTGTAACAAACCTTAACAACTTACAGTTCTTTACTATGTTGTGTTTTGAGTGACTGTTCAATAGGGTAGATAATCATGAACATGGTTGATATGGAGCTCCTGTGTTGTAAATGTATAACGCGTCAGTTAAATGTCTAACCGTCACCTTTGTCTGCAATAGTATGAATCTGCACCAATGACAGCTCCGAAGCTAAGCTAATAGATAACTAGCTTTCCAAGGCTGGACCTTGGAAAAAACGCAATAACACTCAATAGCACACATGGCCACGGATGAGCAAATCCTCAAGGACTTTTACTTTCCACATGTGCTCTAAATGCAAAGTGAAGTGCATCACAAGCATGTTTGATAACACAAGATGTCCAAATAAAATAGCCTGACATTAACATAAGTTGTAAACAAAAAGGGCCAAAGAGGATGGGGTATACTGTGGCTGAAGTTTAATTAAATGTGCATATATAGGGAAATATCTACAGTTAGCTGTGTATTGAATTAAAGTAAGGGGACTGTGTGGGTACCCTAGTAATTACTCTTTCTGTGTTTTTATGCTGCGAACAGACACACCGACCTGTTATGGCAAAATAACTTTGTTGGTTTAAGTAATCATCAAGACAAAAACCTTAGCTATTTTATAATAAAGGATAACTGCTTGGCACCTCTGGCACTAAAAGTCTGTGAGTCTCAGAGAGGGTTTACATCTGTTATTGAGTGACATGGGGGTCACATCTTTGTGTTGCAATCCATGGCAACCTATGTAAAGAGTTGATTGATAAAAGGCATGTTAATACAGCATCTGTAGTCCCACATTCCTCATGGCAGTTTAGATCAGGGCAGCCGTACACAGACACGAAGCATTTTCATATTTGTCATAGTGTCTTTGGGTTATCTGGCATCAGTAAGCTGGTTATCAGCTCGGTTTACCCTACAGTTTTCAGTCTGTTATGTATGTGTTCACATTGTAGAGGCACGCTTGTAACAACTTTTTCAATATAATAACATCAAGTTGAACATCAGGTTGTTACGTTGACCTCAGTGTAGGCAAACCAGGTTTTTGCGTCACCTACAAAAATAACGATTCAGCATGAGAAAAGCTATAGAATTTGTATCACAAAAATACAATGACATTGTTGTCAATCTCAAGATGTTAAGTAGCCCATAGTGCTATGGGAAGGATGGATTAGTTGTGAAAAAGGCAGCAGTTGTGAGCTTATGTTACACGTGACTGGGTGCATAATGATGAATAATGCATTAGCAAACAATAAGCAACATTATAACAGTTAAAAGCATTTGGGAGACACATCATTAGGATGCTAATGTTGATGTGCTTTCTTTGAGTTTGTATCTCTCCATCACCATTACCATATATCTTACATGGATAATTAAGGCCTCTGTGACATTGTGAATGAAATACAGGATAGATTTCAAATTGGCATCCTTCATGAATTGAAAGTCTTCTCCATACCTTGCATTAAGGTACAGTGGACATATTTGATATTAAAACAGTCATCGTCTCAATGAGTCTCCCTAGGGTGGTTAATTTAGTTTTGATGTCTAGGAAGTGTCAAAGGGATCCCATCGAGGCCTGCAGTGTAGTTCATCTGTAAAATGTCATTTTATTGATCATGAAGTGATGTTCAATTGGCTTCCAGCTGTTTGAAAATTATCAACTGGATTTAAATGATTTTGGAGACAAAGCTGTGTGCAAACAATAGGCACTGTACGCTTGGTCACTGTTGTTACATTTAAAGGTTAAACCTGTGATTGTTGTACGACAATGCTTCTCCTTTCCGGTTTATTTATTGTGATAACATTTGGAAATCTGTATTGTGCGACTGCGAGGAGGATGACACTTTTTTTGAGAGAGGTCATAATAAAATAGTCATTGGAAGATGTGATTTGATAAGCTGCTGGACAGTAGCTCTATAGCACGCACTGTTTGTCGGTCAGTTCACAACAAAATTCCCCCTTGGTGGCAGACATTTGTCATGGATGTCATGTCTTTGTGACGCGTGTGAATTAATTAATACCATTGCAAATTTGCGCTTTTTAAAACCTTTTTTTTTGATCATCCTTACTTCACTTCATTGACTTCAGTGGTCATTTTCTCTGTTTATAAGTGAACTGTATGATTGAATGAAATACATGTTGTCATGTGTATAGTACAGGAAGAATGGCAGCTTTGGAAAGTTTTGGAATGCTAAATCTGGCCCACTGATAATCATCATGCCCTTTGTTCTGCACCCCAATAGTCACATGGAATCGGTCCTCAACATTGAGCTTTAGTAAGACTCTTAGTTTAAATAGTCACATCTTCTCCCTTTGTGCACTCGTAAGCTTCTTTGTTGAGTGATTGAATCCAGTATTTGTTCATTTATTCTGATTTAAATCGAGAGCTATCTGATCAGGCCTTTTTACTAAATGACAAAAGTACAACATTGAATGTTATCTTACTAAGTTAGGGCTAATTGAAAATACTTAAAGTGTTAGTAACTGTAGTACTGTAGTGTTTCTGCACAATGCTGCATGCAAAAAACATGTTATAAAAAAAAGTTTTGTATCAAAATTGTTCTCAAGCTTTGACCCTTGTAAGATACTGAAGCTTATACTGTTATTTATTTAATCTTAAGCCTCTTCCTCTCTTTTTCAGCTTTGTTGGACGCATTAACTAAGAATGGGAGCTCAGCAGGTAACGGTGCATTTCGCAGGAGGACAGCAGACGGCTCAGAAAGCACCGGAGCTCAGCCGGAGAGGGACGGCCAAGAGTCCGGAGGGGGAGACCTTAAAGCCTTCACCAAAGAGCAGGTGGAAGGTGTGCAAAGGTGAGGATTTTAAGATTGACTTCCCTTTCATGCTATACTACTTTTCCCACCGATATACTATTATCTATCCTCTTCCTATTTTGGTGCTTTCCTACCATTCGCCCTGTGTCGGCAGTACTGTTTCTATCATGCTGAGTTAGACCTGTCATCCGTGGCTGCAGGAGGATACTGTAGTCTCTGCAGTGTTGTGCACACACAGCTAATTGTCATGGGAACCCATCAGCTTGGCGTCTCGCCAATGAGAGGATAAAGTGAGAGACATTTAGCACTGTGAACTAGATTACAGGTAACCACTACATGCTCACATTTTAGACCATGAGACAGGTGCACATTTGATCCACAGCCTTTGATTAGATCTTAGAAAGCTGCAGTGTAATGCACCTTTTCAACTTATGCAATCACTCTATTCTCTAGTGTTTTTATACTAAAGCCTTTGGGAAATCTTCAGTAGTTTAAAAATGGCATCATGTCTTCTAGACAGGTTGTGTTAAAAAAACGTCTCCCTTGTGACCTCATTAGTGGTCTCACTCCACGATTCAGTGATAGTCGAATAGATGATATATTAACAGTACCGACTTGTATTATTTGATGAGTGTCCAAATGAAGGATCTAGCAAACTATACAACAAAATGAATCAAATGAACTATTTTATTTTTTTGTTCTGTTTTAACACATGTGAATAGTTTTGTCTGATAACAGCTGAATAATTGTGTTTATTTATACTAGAGGCAGTTTTTCAATTGTGTGATTGATTTCATGCATGATTGACGTTCATGGAAAGATAATTTAACACAAAGATAACCTCGAGAATGGTAAAAAAACGATCCACTGGATTCAGCTTCTTCACTCTCTGTCAATCTCTTTCAGAATAAAGCGGTGTAAGGACTACTATGAAGTGCTGGGTGTCAATAAAGAAGTCAATGAGGATGAGCTAAAGAAGGCCTACAGGAAACTAGCGCTCAAGTTCCATCCAGACAAAAACCATGCACCTGGAGCGACAGAGGCCTTTAAAAGTAAATCATAATCTTTGTGAAATCTAGCTTGTGTGGGATATACAAATATGATCTAAGCGTTTGATTACAACACCTACAAACGTGTCCATAACTTTCCCTCCTTCATTCTGGAATGTGTCCTATTCTAGAGATTGGTAATTCATACGCAGTGCTCAGTAACCCAGACAAACGACGGCAGTACGACCTGACGGGAGGAGAGGAGCCCAGCAGCCCGGGTAACTCTCATGGAGGAGGGGGAGGGGGGGGCTTCGACTTCCACCGGGGCTTCGAGGCCGACATCACTCCTGAGGACCTCTTCAACATGTTCTTTGGAGGTGGCTTCCCCTCCTGTAAGTCAGCACTTAACGCATCGAATCAAGTTGTGATTAATCCAAATAGAACGATTTTTTATTCATAAAGTGTTCTGACATCACATGCTCTTATGATAGTAGGTAATAAGACTTATTTTTAAAAGTTAAATTGCTATCTCAAAGACTATGTTGACATACTTTTTATGTGTTGCATATAAGATCCCAATTTACATAATGGATGTATCATTTTCGAGCTTTAAGTAACCAAATATAACCATGTAATCTTAGCATATGTACTAGTGCAACTGGACCATGTCGTTTTAAATACTGATCTCTGGAAGTAGCTTTAATTGGGGATGTATTTCATATTCCTTGTATCTGACCCAGAGTTCCCGTTAGAACATTTTTGCCGGTCAAAATGTCCGTTAAAGTTTAAATCTTCCGGACAAAATGAGAAAAGTGCCGGTCAAAGGTCTTCTTTGTTATTTATTGAGCTTTAAAACAAATTGATATGATTCGATATTAAACAAACTAATTATAGTAGATTAACTACATTATTCAAAAGTGTACAGTAATTTACAAAAACACGGGAATAATAAACGGAGCGCTCTGTCCTTCTCCTGACAGCCCGTCAGTATCATGCAGCTGGCTGATCCAGTAATGAGTGACCCGACAGTAAAACTAAACATAACTAGTTTAGGTAGTTTAAGAGGTAATTAAAATAGCTACGTGTGATATTCTAACCTGAAGTGTGTGTTTTGTTCCGCTCACCGCTGCAGGTGATCATGCTGAGCTGCGTGTCGACTCGTCAGCAGCAGCTGATCTCTCTCTCCCGTCAGATTAGACTCGCGTTTATGTCCATATCGATCAGATCTAGCTGGTTCTAGCTAATGATATGACTACCTGCTTATTAAAAGACACCTAAACAATAAGCGTCGCTATGCAACCGGGTGAGGCCGCAAAGTATAGCGCAGCATTATGCATTTGTTTACATGCCCACCGGAACCCCGAGGCATTACCAACAGATCAACGCACAATCAACCCATACAGGACATGTCTTTCTCCACATTAAGTGTTAGACATTAGAATTGACTCTTCTTGTCTGTCACATACTATTTTGTCTCTCACATACTCTTCTTGTCTGTCACATACTATTCTTGTCTGTCACACACTCTTCTTGTCTGTCACACACTCTTCTTGTCTGTCACATAAGTGGCGCAACTGATGCGGTATTGTGCTAAGGGGAAATTATTTTGATCAGACATTTTGACCGGAGAGATTTAGATTTGCCGGTCTTCAGCATATTTTACCGGTCATAGTCCGGTAATTACCGGCTAACGGGAACTTTGATCTGACCTCAGTCATGATATTTTTGTCCACAGCAAGTGCACACACCTTCACCAACAGCAGAACGAGCTACAGCAATCAGACGGATTCCCGACAAGAGAGAACAGAAGAACGGGCAGATGTACGTTCATGGGATCAGATCTTATCTCTAATAAATATATCAACATTTTATGTCGAGAAATGTACATTGTAAATGAATGTGCACCTATAAAATCGACATGCTATATTATAGGTTTTTGAAAATGAAGTGCTTATTGAACTGTGTTTTCCTCCAGGGTGGTTTCTCTATGTTCATCCAGCTGATGCCCATCGTGGTCCTGATTTTAGTGTCAATACTGAGCCAGATGATGGTGTCCCCTCCACCCTTCAGCCTCTACTCTAGACCGTACGTACACACACACTCACACATGCATACACACTCACACTTGTGTTTTTCATCGCTGAGGCAAATTTGCTTGTTGCTTGCACATGAAGGTAGCTAATAACATCAATCCGTAGAACTAATCACAACATGTAATGCCATGATTACCTGTTAATGAGGCTGTTTGAAAACAAGAAGTCTTCACCCTTAGACACTTTTTCAACCATGTGCTACAGTATGAGCACTTGTCCTGGTTTCTCACTGAAACGTGATACTGTAAATCACCATCTGTATTCAAAATATGTGGGGAACTACCACAGTTGACAGCATTTTCCCACCAACTTGTTCTTCCTCTATCTGCTGCAGGTCCACGGGTCAGACAATCAAACGGCAGACAGAGAACCTGCATGTGGATTACTACGTCGCTAGAGATTTCAAGTCGGAGTTTAGGGGCTCAGCGCTGCACCAGATTGAGAAAAATGTGGAGGAGGATTATGTATCTAACGTCAGAAATAACTGTTGGAAGGAGAGACAGACAAGTGAGTAACCATGGTTATAATGCACCCTCAGAACAAGCTCACTGGGTTTAATAATGTTGTATTCATCACTGACATTGTTTTCTGCTTCTCATTAGAAACAGACCTGCTGTATGCTGCGAAGGTGTACAGGGACGACCGGATGCGCAAGAAGGCAGAACTTATGACCATGGATAACTGCAGGGAGCTGGATAGACTAAATAACTTATTCAGAGGAGGATGAGTTTGTGACTTTTAGATGATGTAAATGTATATGAATAGATGTTTATGTTCATGTTTTTCTAAGGAAGAGTCTTTACACTAGGAGCAAAAACGTACTGAAATAATTTAGCTCTAATGTTGAAGTTTTAAAATGTCCCTCTCCTCATATCCCTACACCAACTTCCTCATTCCAGCCTGACCCCAGGAAACGCCTTTAAACGCATCTTATTGAACCAATCCACACTTCTACTGCAGTAGAACGCCCCAGACCTTTGTTGTTGTTTTTTTACTCTGTTTTTCTTGCATTTTCCTGGAAACAAGGTGGACAAGGACACTTGATTGTAACGGCATGTGCTTTGAGTAGTGAGAACCCAAACAAACCACTGTCATAAAATCAACAAACGGCTTTCAACATCATCTGCTTGACGTAAATATAAGATGAGAGACTTTATGGCTTCATTTAGGGGTGCTGTCCACCAGGCATTTTGTGAAGAACACAGGAACAAAAGAAGAAATTAAAAAAACACAACGCTTCTTCTAGCTTCCTACTCACCTCCGAGTGCGGATGAAGATCAATGGATCATGAAGAGATACCTGTGATTTTGCTACTATAGAATATTTTATGTCTTCATCCTCAAAATGTGTAGTTGGTTGGGACTAATCACAGAAGGACATTGAAACTGTTATTCATAAATGGTTGTACATTTTCATTTTTGAATGTTTGAAGTTTATGCAGTTATTTAAGAAACTATGGAAGAAACAAAGATTTTCTTCATTGCTCGCCTAATCATTTAAATAAAGTAAAATTATTACCATAGACTTGGTGTTTTCTTGTCTCTGATTCAGATGTCAAAGGTTCAACTCTCTTGATTTTATTTGCTCATGTCTTGTCATTTTTGAGATTTCACAGTAACTGTAGTATCGCTCATATTGTTTTAACAGATTATGTTTGAATCGTACATAATTAAAATAAACATAATTTACATAAGGGTTATAGCTTACTAGAACAGAAATACAAACATTTATAAAATGCAATTCTATAGAGTGATCAAGGCTTTGATACATAAATCCCTTTTCCATGGTGGTTTGTTTTATTCGGGCTGGTGTAAAAGAAAGACCGAAAAATGTATCTGCAGGCATAAATGCTTCATGATATGGCATTAGTTTAGGATCACTTCCATATTGTGTTGTTGTACAAGCTGAGTAATTTAAGAACAGAGTTTAGTTCCAAGATGAAATTATTATAACTAGGAAGGGATTAAGAAAAGTTGTTTGTGAATTAAAAAGTAGACCAAGTTTTTGCGTCAGCGGATAGGCCTATATCACACACTCAAAGTAAATGTTACATTGATTCTATGTCATGTTTGCTAACTTTAACAGAAGGACAATTAGCAGCTATTTAATATTTTGTATAATTTGTTATTTATTTTAAAGAGTGCATTCAATAGTTTTTAGATGAAGATAAAGATACAAAATGTAAAATACATATCAACCCATGCATTTTGTTGGTGAACTATGTTAACGTACAAATATTGACCAGGAAAATATAAAAAATATTACAAAATGGTATTATTACTTTACTGACGTTGCAACGTTGCAACACTTAGTCATAATCATGATTGGCTTATCGGGGGTCATGTGACAGCGTCAAACCCGGAAGCGATATGCTACGGCAGGTAAACTGCAACCTGATAGTTGTCTAGCTAGGCAGTGGAATGAAAACAACCAGAATTGAAACTTAAAATGCCATCAAGACTGTTTTTTGCGGAATAAATCAGCTTAAATTAAACCAATGTGCCGGGGAAACGCTTGTTTCTGACGTCTAGTGGACAATGCGTTACCACATGTTGTTTTTTCTGTTGGGTTTATTGTATTGTGGAAGTCTACCATGGGTGTCTGCCTGCCAACAAGAGCCAGAGACCCCAGACTGGAGGATGACTCTGAAAACTATCCGCAACGGAATACACAAGATTGACACGTACCTGAACGCAGCACTGGACTTGTTTGGTGGCGATGACGGGCTGTGTCATTATAAGTGTAATGATGGTAAGCCACCTTCTTTTAAATCTTTCTTCCTCATTGTGAACAATTCATTTGTCAAACATAACATTATCAGTGGCTGTAGTTCATTTAAGAAGGCCAGGACTCTTGTATCCCACTTCCTGGCTCTCTGGCACATCTAAAAAGGATGGTATTCATACCTGTGCTTTTCTCTGCTATTTAAAGTGAATAAACCAATATCAGACAACAATAAAAAGGGAGGCAAACTTAATCAATGTTGAGTTTATACAACACTTCAGAGCTACAAGATGTACAGTATCACTCCTTTAGCTGCACAGTAGGCCATTAAATCATGTTGTACTGATGTGGTTATCTGTGTCAGTAAGATAACTGACTGGCAGAACAAGAAACATCTTCACCTTTGCTCCCAGGTTACACGCCTGCACCTCGTCCTGGTTACAAGAAACCACCTCCCAACGGATGTGGCTCCCCGCTGTTTGGATTTCAGGTAGTCTCACATTATTACATTGAGTTTCCCAGATTTGTAAAGGGAGGTCCTTTCACTTCTTGGAAAAGCAAAACTGGTTATATAATGTGATTCCTAATGTACACAGCAACTCAAACTGCATATTCTTGTCGAGTGAATGTAGCCTAACATTAAAGTGTTTTACCTTTCTACCATGGCCCTGGCTGATGAGTAACACAACAGTGTATGTTATAATAAAACATTTGTCATAATTCCATAAATTGTAAACCTAAAACTAAATAATGTTTATACTTCAAGATGTACTAATTATTTGTATATGTGGAGCACAACACTTTAATAACAACATTTTAAAGGGTCGTCATCAAAAATATGAATTGATGTTATAAATATGTTTGTATCAACCAATATGTTATCAGAATTCAAACTCTCAAATATTGATATCGGTATTGGGCTAAAAAAATACAGCATTAGCCTGGCTACGCTAAAAATAATACTGAGAGATACCGTGTCACACAGAACGATTTTAAAAGCAATGTATTTATATGTTTCGTGCCTGCACCAAATAATAACAAATTAGAAGGAAAAAAAGATTTAAAAAATACAGATTTCAGTATTCTGAGCCCCATTTATTTTCCTCACGGACGGCAAAAAAGTCAGACATTATACAATTTAAAATAAAAACAATAATCATGGCTTGATATTGAGTAAGAAAATGTTTTTATGAACCACACAGCTTCCGGTCTTCCAAGACCCGACCGGACAAAAAGACGTGGTGCAGGCACGAAACATACTACCAATAGAAATACATTGCTTTTAAAATCGTTCTGTGTGACACGGAAAATCATGTTGGTGAACACGATTCAATAGATTACATTTATTTCGTGACTATAACACGAAATGCTGTGAGACTGGGTTGCTTTTACACAATCAATCAATGAACAGAATTGAGTCTCTTTGTAAATGTGTTATGTTTTATTTCCAGGAAACCTCCTTGGACAAGTGTATCTTGGCTTTTGTCTTTGCTGAAACTACATTTGATGTCATTTCCCTGAACCATTATCACACTTTTTGAATTTGCAGAAAATCACGTCTCCTACAGAGACAGTATAATTGTCATTTCCTCCTAAAATACATATTAAAGAGTTACAAACATGTTTTTTTCAGTTTGACATAGGCATTCCGTCTATGACCAAATGCTGTAACAAACATGACCGCTGCTACGACACCTGCGGCCTTGAGAAGCACGACTGCGACGAGCAGTTCCAGGACTGTCTGGAGAACATCTGCAGGAATGTGCAAAGGACTCTGGGATTGGCTCAGAGTGTCCAAGGTTAGAGGCTGAGCCCATCGGGGCTTTTCATTATACTTACTTATGCTTCCCCCATTCTCCTCCTGTGACCTGGAAATCTTTGGCTAAATTCCATTTAGCTGCTTATGTTTCAGGGTCATTGTATTGTGAACGTTTGCTCAAGTGTTATGGCTTACTGGGAAACTCTAATAGACCAGTGCCATCATTCAATTTTTTTCAATTAAGTATAACCTGTCATTTTTAAAATGTCTGATTTGAAAGAGGTTTATATGTTGTACTTTGTGCACTGTAACCTCACTTGAGATGGCTGTATTGAGTCAGGAGGAGTCACTGTTAGATAGCCGGGCCAGTTTTTAAACAACATTTAAGGAAAGAAGCTATGCTCACAGGTTAACATTAGTTTCATTTTACATTAAACTACAAATACATTTCTGCTTCAGTTCAAGGATAGAAAGGGATGTGACAGTGCTTGTGCAAATGTGTAAGCAACTGTAAAACACATAATGACCAGCAGGGGGCGAAATAGAGCTACTTTTAAAACATTTAATTTGTATACTGTGATAACTCTATTTGTCTCTCGACGACGCTACTGTGATTGTGGATTTTGTTGTGAGCTATTTTAATCACGTACTTAAAACTAAAGTTACGAATAACTGCAGTTTTAATCTACTACAAAATCTGTATTAGCCCAATAATTCCTTAGTAAGAGCACACTAAAATGTGTTTTACTCCCTTACAACATGGTATCAGGTACTTGTGTTCACCCTTTTGTGTAGCTCATGTTCTGTTTTTTCTGCCCCACTCTCAGCCTGTGAGTCAGCGGTGACTCTGCTGTTTGACGCTGTTATGCACCTGGGATGTAAGCCATACCTGGACAGCCAGAGGGACTCCTGTGTGTGTCAGTACGAAGTGAAGAAGGAGCTGTGACACTGGATCAACACTGTGGAAAGCACAACACTGACAGAAGGAAGCCAGCAATACACTTTTATCTAAGATTTTCTCAGGGAGAGAGTTTCTATTGCCTGCACGGACTTGTGTCCATTACCTCCTTTTATAGATGTTTTGAATTGTAGACTATTAGACAAAGTGAAGTGGACAGTTAATATCCTTCCTATTAAGTTAATTATTTATGTTTTGCTAATTCTGTATAATGTGTTTATCCTGTGATAGACTGGAAACACTCTATTTTGTGGGTTTATAAATCAAAATAACTCTTGAAGAAGTTTTGTGTTAAAACCAAATTATGTTTTCTCGCACTGATTATGGGTAAAAGAAAGACTGTCAATGCAACTTTTAAACTCTACACAACAACTAAACTAACTACAATAACTGTCTCAGACTTTTGTTTTTATTTGCCCCTTAATGCAATGCAAACACAACATTCATTTTGATCCCAACTACACACCTGTAAATTAAAAATCTGGTCCCGTTTCAGAAGCACTTTATGACATTCACACTCAAAAGGTGAAAACAAACCAGCGTTGTTTTTGCTTCTTTTTAAAAAAAAACTAATGTGCCGGGAAATGCTGTTTTTCTTTTTTAAACTAATGTGCCGGGAAATGTTTTACTCTGTAAGTGGAGGATGCAAAATCCCAGCTACACCTAAAAACATTTGTTGGGCTTGTTCTTTTTGGGTGTCTCCAATGTGTGTCTACCAATAAACAAGAAAAATAAGTTCCAGACTGGAAGAAAACTATCCGTCAGGGGAATACACAATGTTATGCTCCTGTATGTAGCACTTGACTTGTATGGTGAAGGATCGATGATGGATTGTGTCATTATATGTGTAGTAATATTAAGTAAGCTTCTTTTCATCTTAATCTCAAGGTAAATAACTGTTTGTATATTATTCGGGGGCTGTGTTTTAAGACTTGTATCATTAATAATGGCTTACTGGCGCACATCAAAATAGCTTAATAAATTCATTCCTCTATGTGTTAAACTATGGACAAACATAATGAATGTTGAGTTTATGAAACACCTGATGGCAAGAAGATATACAGTGTCACCCTTTAACCCA